CCCCCCCGCTGCCCGGCCCATCCGGGCCTCCTGCGGCCGGGCAGGATGGGGGATCAGACCCCCCCCCCATCCCCTGCTCCCCGAGGATCCAGATCCCCGCCTGTCCCTCCCTGTGCATCCCACGGTGCCTCCATCCCCTTCCTGCTCCCGAGGGCAGGGAGATCCCTTCCACCCCAGTACGTGCAAACATGAGGTCAACACCGGCACAACCAGGAGGAGGGAGAAACCCCAGCAAGGCCAGGCACGGGCCCCCGACCCCAGCCGCAGCACCCTCCGTCGCTCCCGTCCCTGGCAGGGGGTCCCAGGCCATACACAGACCTGATGAACAGCCCCCAGCTTCTCCGCCGCGCTGGTTGCCCTCTCGATGGCAGATGCCAGCACAGCCAGACTACACCGCAGCTGCTCCAGCGTCTCCTTGCAGCCCGCGTCGGTGCAGGATGGGCCCAACCTCTGCAGAGGGAGAGGATGGAGCTGCCGGAGCCGGGACTTGGAGTTGTCCGAACCCCTCCGGGGCTGGATGTCCCCGGCAGATGCCCCCTGCCTTGTTGCCCACCTACCTCCAGGGCAGCCCGGCACTGCCCCAGCTCCTCCTGGATGTTTTCCTCTGCCGCATCCCGCGCCTGTGTCTCCACCTGCACCCGCTGCTGCAGGGTGAACACGTCGCAGCGAAAAGCCAGGGCGAGGTGGGCGAAGGCTGCCTGCAGGGTGGGAGGGCGAGAGGTGGGACACCGGGCAAAGGGGGAGCCACCAGGGCCATGCACTGCTGTCCCCAAGGCACACACATAACCCCCTGGCATGCCACCAAGCAGGGTAGCGCTAAGGATAATCAACACTTGCTTCACCTCAGCACCCTCCAGGCTGCTGCACGCTGGGGACAGTCCCCGTGAGATGCCAGCCTGACCGAGACATGTCCCCCAGGCAGCCGATAACGCATGGAAATCCCAAGCCCTCCTGGCAAGAGCACGCGCCGGGCAGACGCCAGCCCTCACTGCAGGTCCCGGCTGACAGCGGAGCCTGACTCAGCCCTGGCACTCACGGGAAAATTATTTTTATTAGCACGGCTTCCACCACCTCCCCGGCTAAGGGCGCTCTCGGTGAGCTGCAGAGCACTTTGTGGGATTGCCGGGCGCACAGAGGACGGGCTCAGTTTGCCGTGGAAATGCAGCTGCCTCCGAATGCCAACGGCATCATCGAGAAAGGGATTTGTAAGGCGGCTGCCAAGGGACTGCGGTGCCTGGAGGACGGCCAGGAGCAGGGCACAGCCCTGGGACTGTGAGCCGGCGAGAGATCCGTCCCTCTGTCGCCCTTCCCCAGCCCACCCGCCGCCCCCGGCAGCCCTCACCTCCACATCCTGCTCCGTCAAAGCCACCCTGCGGAAAGAGAAGTGCTGTCAGGGATGGAGGCGCCACGGGGACTGCACGCTGAAAATGCCCTTGGTCTGCTCCCAAGGGTGCCAAGGGTGCCAGCCACCACCAGAAGTGGGGACCCTTGTGCCCCTCGCCTGGAGAGTGGCTCTTGTGCAGTGGAAGAGGAGGAAAGTCCAATCCCTGGACCACATGGTGCCCTGAGACCCCCTGTCCCACAGCCCCCATAGGCATGTAGGCGCTCACTGGTCTTACCTGTGCAAGCCTAGTCTCTCCAGCACCGACAGCTCACTGGGAAAACCCAGCAGCGACTCCTCCAGGGTTTCTACATCTGCAGAGAGGCAGTAACGCCACGGGAGAGACCACACGTGAAGGCTTTTGCTTGGCCATTCCTTCTCCCCCTGCCCTCCTGTCCCGGCAGGGAGCAGGTACCCGTGCAATGGGACCATCCCAATCCTTCCGCCAGCATCAGCGGGGCTTTGGGTCCCCCCAGGCCAGTCCCCCGTTCCCCATGTCCCCACCAAG